GGTAGGTCTCTCCAGACACGAGCTCACTCTCTTCATTCATCCTCTGACCATTGCTATGTCCACATGATGAATAACAGGATGATAAAAGCTACAACACAGACATGAAAACTAAAAATTTGGCTCTTCTTCCCATAGGAAAGAATAGACAAGGGACAAAAGTCCGACTGGAATGAAGTGATAAACAATTCTGGGGGCTACAGGTGGGACGGGGTGCTGAGTCTTTTACTGTATTGTAATAATAATCTCACTTATTCTTTTCTTTACGCTGGCTGGTGATGTAAAGGTATTCCCTCTATTATTCTTGACCTATTTTTGTACACGTTTTTGTTTTGTTTTATTTTGGTACTGGGCCCTGAAGCAGGGTCTTCACAGTGAGCTATATCCCCAGTTCTTCTCTTAATTTTTAAATTTTGAGGCAAGGTCTCACTAAGTTTCTTTTTTTCTGACTTTTTGAGAGAGGGTCTCGCTATGCAGTTCAGGCTGGCCTTGAGCTCACTTTGTAGGCCAGGCGGGTCTCAAACTTGCAATGATCCTCCTGCCTCAGCCTCCCAAGTGCTGGAATTACAGGCGTGCGCCAGCACGCCCAGCAAGGTCTCACTAAGTTGCTAAGTTGCCAAGTTGCCCAGGTTGGGCTTAAACTTGTACCCCTCCTGCCTCAGCCTCCCACTGTGTTAGGATTATAGGTGTGTACCACCACACCCAGCTTATTTCATATACCTTAAGTCCCTGCAAAAGTGTTTTAGAAGTGTTCACAATGTAATACTTTTCCTTCCTTCCTTAACTCATCCATCCATCAACATTTTATTAAGTGCCAGCCTGCTGGTCCCTGCGCTCCAGGTATCCATGAGCTGTACAGGAGCTGTGAACACCAAGCCGGACTCTGTTACCGGAAGGAAACTTCTCTCAGAACTTACGAGTCTGGGGACTTCGAGTAGCCACTGCCAAAGAGGCTGCGCAGAGAGCGTGGTGGCGAGATCTTGGCGTCTCGGGAATAGAAGACCATGCACACGTCCTTGGTGATGACCGCGGGCTGGATGCAGTGGTCCAGCTGAAAGCAGACGGAGTGGGTCTGAGCGAGAGCGGCAGGGTTCCCTGAGCAGCCGACATGGAGAGCTGGTCCTGGATGTGGGGCGGGGGAGCTGCTCCCGGACTGGCGGCTCCCTCAGTCATCTCAGCAGCAACCCAGCAGGTAGAGAGGGCAAGGCCAGGCGCTATGCCCGGTAAATGCATTTACTCTCCTCTGAAGTTAGTGTCCTCAGTATTCTTTCTCTAGTACACGAGGACAGGAGGCACGGAGAGCATGTCCAAGGACACACAGGCAGCAGAGGGCAGCACAGGGATTGCACATGGTTCTGGGATCTGGACTGCTCAACTACCATTAGGCTCTGTCACACCATGAAAACAGGAAGTGAACTTCTCTTTTATTCTGGTGTTAGGCATTGAACCCAGGACCTTTGCACTGAGGTATATACTTTTTATTTTGAGAAAGGGTCTCACTAAGCTGCCCAAGCTGGCCTCAAACTTGCCTTTCTCCTGCCTCAGCCTCTAGCGCACTGGGACTGCAGGTGTGAACCACCTTGCAGCATCTTCTTGAAGTCATGCTTTCTTAAAGAGTGGTGGCTGGGCTACTAAAGCCTACACCACTGTAAAAGTAGTCATCTACTGATTAAACAGAGGCCAGAACCAGAACCTACAGTCCTGACTGTCAGCAAAGTTTAATAAAAGAAATAACTGTGGGACGTGGAGGAAGGAACAAGGAGAGGGCTGGGGATACAGCTCAGCGGCACAAGCGCCTGCCTGGCAAGGGTAAGGTCCCGAATTCGATTCCCGGTACAAAAAAAAAAAAAAAAAAGAGAAACGAGGGCCGTGGCCTCGCTCTGTGCTCACCTCCAGGTAGGCGGACAGGGTCATGTAGATCTTCTCCCCGCAGGGCGTCACGCGGTTCAGGAGAAGGGAGTTGTGCAGGGAGCTGTCCCACACGGCTTCGAAGCGGTAGAAGATCCTGCGAGGGGAGAGAGGGCGAGTGACCAGGGGCCGCGGCCGCCGGCGCAGAGGGCCCAGCCGGGCGCAGGAGGAGCGAGGAGCTCAGCTGCGCGCGGCTTGCTCTCTCGGACGCGCCCAGGGACATGCGGGGGTGAGTGCGCAGAGGGACACCAAGCCGGGAAGGGCCCGCACGGCCGGCAGCGGC